TAGTAGTCAGATTTTGGGTAAGAACAATTAAGAGTTCAGTTGTTGCACAGGAAAGAAAACTGACTCTAGGGCTGATCCTGGGTTTAATTATAAGTGAACATCCAGTTTCCTAAGCTATTATTTTTATTTGTCTCCAACTGCTAGACTTGGGAGTCTAAAAATGCCCAAATAAATTCAAGTAGTCTCCTATCCCTGCTAAAAGAAATCATCCTGTTTTATTCCTTTACCTGTTTTGTGTGTGGGTGTCAGAGTGTGTATGAGGTGGTGTTGCATCTCATCCCATTTCTTTTCAGATTCTGTTTCTTGCAAGTTATAGTGAAATTGAAGGCATTATCTCCTGTATGTAAGGGTAGTGCACTAGTGAATATAATAGGAATGTTGATGCCCTGCTTCACTAGCTACTCTTCTCTCCCTCTCACACAGCAGTTGTAATGTGGCTTTTTTGACAGATACGAAAGTCCTATATATTTTGTGATGGCGAGTTGGTCTTAGCAGTTGGCTGAATCTACAAAATGGCTCTGTGGCCTTTTCAAACTGTTGTACTGTAAAAAAAAATGTTGATTATATAATTAATAGGGCTACTATCCACAATCCAGGAAACCTGGGGTGCTTGGCCTCATTTCTTTTGTGTGATAGTTCCTAGTGTTGTACTGCCAAGCTGTTCTTTGGTTTTCTGAGTTTGTTCCCAGGATTTTTTGTTTTGACAATTTAGGCATTTTCCCCCAGTGCCAAATGTGCTCAGTACCTGGCCTACTCCTGGAATTTGCTACAATAAACAGTAGCACATTGTGATATACTTTATTTGTGCTTGCATGGGGTACTTCTGAGTAATGTTAAACATGTCTCTTTCTGAGTAAACATAAGAGCAGCTGAAATTATTTCATAAAATAATTGCTAGTTTGGATCTTTTCTCAAGTTTCTAACACATGGCTGGTTCGGATGAGACAGTATCATTGCAGAAGAGCTTTAAAAGCATGTTTTCTAAGTGATTTCCCTCAATAGGCTTTATTATGCTATTGAATCAAACTGTTGTAGTTTCTGTTATGAATTTGTTTTAGTTGTAACTATTTATTGGATTTTAGTATTTTACGGGTCATATTAATAATTTTATTTTGAAGTTTATTATTCATATTTTATTTTTCTTGGAAGCTGCTGTGAAAAGGTTGATATCTATGGCAGCTTATTAATATTGTCAATAGTCTTATGTTTACATTAAACATGAAATAATGCCATAGGATGGTGCAGTCTTCATAACCATGATTATGTGCAATTTTGTGGTGACGATTGAACAGTTTAATAAGTTGTTCTCCTGTAATGTCTTTTTGACAGCTGAAAGACGAATTGCTAGCCTATGTCTATGGAGATAACAGGCTTGACAAGTAGTTCATGTTGATGTGCTATCACTTCATCTGTCTGTATTTGCTGTCATTTCTAGAACCGATTGTGTTAGTCTATAGTTGTGCATGGCTATTGTAAAAGCACGAAACTGATATAGTGGAGGAGAAATCTTTGACAAATATATCTAAAAAGCAAGTGTCTATTTTAATATGAATTAATTTACTATACCCAGTCATGTAAATTGCATCTCATAACTTCATCTCAAACTGTGGAATATGAGAAACAGAATTATTATAGTGGTTCAGCATTTCTGTGTTCTCAAATAATATGCTGTGTCTAGGTTGGTTCATCAAGTGCTCTGCTATGGCTGACTTCTCTGGTTGAATTAGTCTGCAGTGCCTTTCATGTTCCTTAATTTGTGTTTGGGTGCTGCATTTGGTGGTCTCTGTGTAAACTTGTCCACAGCTGCATGATATATGGTAGACTCATGCAGAAGTGAGAGGATCCCTCTTGTCCTTTGCTGAACGTAGCATTTGTTGGATTTACGTAATGGGTCTGTAGAGTAAGCCATGAGAGTAAAGACAAAAAACCACCCAGAGGCAAAATGTTCTTACCATACATCAAAGGAACCACTGACCGCATAGGGAAGCTGTTGAAGAAATACAACATACAAACTATCTATAGAACCACTAAGAAAATCCAACAAGTGACACAACAAATTATTTATTTGAGAACACAGAAATGCTGGACCACTCTAACAACCACCATGTCAGACTACACAGGCTAGCCATTGAAATCCACAAGCATGTGAACAATTTCAACAGAAAGGAGGAAACCATGAAAATGAACACAATCTGGCTACCAGTATAAAAAAAAACCTCTGAAATCAGGTCAGTAAATAAAGAGCAACACTTAAAAAACGGGAATTCCAGACAGGAAGCTATCAGGGCCAGCTAACACCTCCCCACAAAGGATTCCCCCAGGCAGGAAGCAGCCAGGCTTTGAAGCTCCAAGGCTCTTCAGTGCTGAACAACGTAGCCAATTGCAACATTCACTCTTGCCTCTAACGGACAACCCTGGAAATTCCACAGATACGTATAAACCTCACTTGCCTAGTTTCTAGCAGACCTCACAACCTCTGAGGATGCATGCCATAGATGTGGGTGAAACGTCAGGAGATAATGCTTCTAGAACATGGGCACACAGCCCGGAAAGTTCACAGCAACTCGGTGATTCTGGTCACGAAAGCCTTCAACAACACATAAAACTATTTTAGTTTTCTAATAAAGCCTGAAGTTCAGAGACATGTTTCTCCTCTTTATCAGCATCTGTGATATGGGGGAAGATGCTGCTCTTTTGGGTAATATCAGATGATTTGTTGCATCATGATGTGTATTTAGTTTGACTATGATGTACAGTAACCTTGTCAGGTATTTCTTGGCAAGATTTAATTAGAGGAGGTTTGCCATTGCCTTCCTCTAATGCCAAAGGAGTGTGATTTGCCCAAGATTTCCGCATTGGGTTTCTATAGCTGAGTGGGGATTTGAACTCTTAATATCCCAGAGTCTTAGTCTAATACTCAATACAGAAATAAAACTGCTATATCATATTGACTCTCTAAGATAGAAGATGGCGCAGCTCATTTGGATACTGCTTGATGTTTGAGTACAGTTAAAAATGGAAGATAGTTGGAAATATCACTCTGATGAAAGTGGATTCTAGGTTATGAGAATGAGGGAAATTCTCTGGGTGAGAATTTGAGGATTCTTTAAACCCAGACAGAATTCATTCTGCTATAACCTGAATGATGACACAAGGTCAACACGATTGTGTGAACTAATATACTGAATTAAATTAAAGTCAATGTTTTATTTTCAAAATTGCTGATATTTTTGCAGAGTATAAAGTTATCAGATAATTCTTTCATCAGAACCTAGTTGGTTTTTCCAGTATTAGAAATTTTGCAGAAGAAAATCTGGAGATAGGAGATGTTGCGATGTGGATGGAACATGCACTGCTAGGGTATTAGACTTATAAAAATTAAGGAGACCTGGATATGCCCCCCCCCCCCCCTCCACTTGACTATGCAGTTCACTTTTTGATCCTGGGCTGTTACTTTCATTCATAACCTAACATCCTTACAAGATTATTGTGGAGATAAAAATGAGAAGGGGAACTATATGTTCCTTAGAGAATAAGGGACTTTATACATTTAACAACAATAAATGTAGGGAACAGGTGAGACACTAGAAGTAACTGTTACTACTGTCTGATTATAGTAGAGAATGTTAAGGAGCTAGATAACCCAAAAGCAGAAGATCTTATAAGCTAATGAGGTTTAGACCTGGTTATTAGTTGAAGACCATCAGGTTATACAAGTCCTGCTAGGTTATATTTATAAGGAAAGCAATAACAAACCACCTTTGTCTAAAGAAACACTGTGTAAATTTATGAACACACACATTTTTTTTCCTCTCTCTTGGAATCTTGAAGAAAAAAATGAAATATTTCACCACATGGGGTTTTACTTTCAAATTAGGTTTCACTCATATACTACAGTTAAAATGTAGTGCAAATGGCCAAATGCAGATATGCTGAGTTGGTAATATTATGAATATGTACATTAGCTGATGTTAAGTCAGTGTATCTGAAAACAAATTACTAACAGGTGCAGTGTCATATTCAAGATAGCTCAGGTACTATAATAAAATCAATCACTAATATTGAAAATAAAAGCTTATATTTGGAATAGCTGTAGCCACAATATTGACATTTTTACATAATATATGGTAAGTGAAGCTTTCAGCTTTCAATTGTATAAGAAGAAGCTGTTGAAGGGTGAAGAATTTCTCATTCATAGGAGTGTAGATTTTTCACTCCCAGGAAATGATAAACTTGTGAAGAAGAGGGAAAGATTGTAGGGAAGGCTTCAATTACAAAGCTACTTGTGAGGTATGATGCATGTACTTCCCTCCTACTATTGTGGAATGAGGGGTTTCTTATAGGGCATGGGCCATAGCATTCTCAGATAGCTAAATGATTCAAGACTTCATATATTTTTAGACTATAAATATGTTTTTATAGTAGAGTGGGCAATTTAAATCAAGGCTTACATTATGAATGAATTCCTAAAAGAACATTTTGATTTAAAGCACTGATTGAAGTAAAGCTTTTCCCCATTAGAGCTTGAGAACTCCTTTTCTTGAAATTCAAAGTACTACAGAATCTGAAACTACTTCAAATTGTCCACATGGATGGAAGACAGAATAACATTCTTGCTTTCTGGTGTTTCCGTGCACACAAACTGTGTTTCATGCACAGAACTGTATATAAAATTACCTTCAGGCTATGTGTATAAGGTGTATATGAAACACAATTTTATGTTTAGACTTGGGTCTGCAATTAGATAGCAAATTGCACATTACTATTGTCATTAATTTCATATCTATGCAATAAGTTGTAGTTTTAACTAGTATGTTTATGATGAGATTTAGTTCTAATTGAAAACCAAAATAGAAATTAACACACAAACAGTATTCATATAAAAATCTAAATCAATTTTTTTATTTCTCAAAAATAGCAATTTTATATGACCTGGTTCTTAGAATCTTGTTGGGTATTTCCCCTCCCCCAGGATTACTAAATGCTCTTTCTCTTTCCAGAGTTTCCCTTCTGATGAGGGATGGCCATTTGCAAAGTATTTGGGAGCATGTGGAAGAATGGTGGCTGTAAACTATGTGGGAGAAGAACTGTGGAGTTACTTCAGTGCCCCGTGGGAAAAGCGAGTTGACCTGGCATGGCAGTTAATGGAAATAGCAGAACAACTGACAAACAATGACTTTGACTTTGCACTCTACCTCCTTGATGTCAGCTTTGACAACTTTGCAGTAGGCCCTAGAGATGGGAAGGTCATCATTGTGGATGCAGAAAATGTGTTGGTGGCAGATAAAAGGCTGATCAAGCAAAGTAAGTTGGACTTCTTTTCATTTTTATGGCTATGAGTTCTATGTTTCCATGTAAATCATTTCAAAATTGGGTTTTGTTATCAAAATACAGAAGCAGATGCTCAAAGAATAGTTATAGCAACCCATATTTGATCACATTGAAACTATCACATTGCTTACTATGTGGGTATGTGGTATTCTACAATAGAATTAAACCACACAGAGTTTCTGTTGCTCACTTTATCTTGATCATTCAATAACACCCCCCCCCCTCCCCTTTTAAGATGTTGTTCATGATATATTTTTCTGCTTTTTCTTTTAGGTTTGATATGGTAGTTTATAAGTAATCTTTATTTAGGTCATGGTTCCTTGAATCCACTCCCATTATTTTCTGTTTTGAACTATTACAAAGTTGTATCTACTTTGTAGCTATTGAAAACAACAGCTAACATTGGTGGACTCATACTAAACTTTTTCATATTAATGTTGGCTGATACACAGTCTCGGTAAACTGACTACACACAGAATGTTCTTAGGTAACAACAATTAATTGTTTCTAATTTTAGCCTTTAAAAAGTAATGAGATTTAGAGAATAGGAAAATATTTTGTTTTGTGGCCCATTATCCTCACTTTTTCTTTTTATGCATTTCACAGATAAACCTGAAAATTGGGATGTATGGTACGAAAGCAAGTTTGATGACTGTGATAAGGAAGCTTGCCTTTCTTTCTCAAAGGAGACTTTGTGCACTCGTGTCACTGTGGACCATAACTACTATGCTATTTGCCAGAACCTTTTATCAAGACATGCCACCTGGCGTGGCACTTCTGGAGGGCTGCTTCATGATCCTCCAGCTGATATTGCCAAAGATGGTCGACTTGAGGCCTTGCTGGATGAATGTGCCAATCCAAAGAAGCGATATGGTAGATTCCAAGCTGCAAAAGAATTGCGTGAATACCTTGGCCGACTAAGTAATAATGTGAGGTAGTTCATAGTGCATAGATGGTCAGAAACTGTATGATGCTGGGACAAAAGCATATGGACAATTGAGTTCTGAACATCAAATAAGCTAAATGAAAGAAAAAAAATCCACAAACCAATATGGTACATGGAGGATGTTCTGTATAAACTGACAAAGCTACATATCTCACTGCAGCTTGAACTATTTTTGACTTGCATGGGAGGAGTGACAACTTAATTGACTCACATCAAATAGGACTTCACACAAACCTGCGATAGTACCACAATTTTATGAGACAGATGTCCTTCCTTGGAAAGTCAAGTTATACCGGCCTGTTTTAAAGGCTTTTATTTCTGACATCATTGTGTTGTCTTCATCCCACTCTTGCACCCAACTTAAGTGGTGTTTAAGTACATGCTGACAAGCCCTAGGTGTTCCTTGTTCCTGAAACTAGTAGGCTTTCATCAAATGCTGTGTACCATTTGAGTACAAGATTCCTATGATTATTCTTTATGTTGAGTTTTCCCCATTGTTTCTTACTGTTTGTATGCCTTATTAAAGATATGCTTATAAAAGCAGTCTTAACTGTTGTGTGAACATAAATTAGTTACATCTGAATTATTTGTAAATCTCCTGCAGGTAGTGATTCACTGATTGGTTAAGTATAAAATTCCATCTCTATTCCAGTATTTATAAATGTCCACTCAACAGGGAATAACTGCTAAAGAAACTGCTAATAAAGGTAAAGGATTCAGTTCATGCTTAATCATGCTTACAGTAGACCTACTGAAAGCAGTGGCATCAAAATCAGTTGTAATTAAATGGGATTTGGATATCAGTGAGAAATTTGTTTGGAAAGAAGCAGTACAGTTAGTTAAAATGAAGTCAAAACTTTACTAGTATAGTAAACCACAAGCCAAAGAAAATGGTTGTGTATCAGTGTGTAGTTACTTAATATTATGTACTGTAGTGACACTAACCCACTGACAGTTTTCAGCAGGTTTATACTTACTCTTCGAAGAAGTTTCCTTTTAGTTAAAAGCCTAGGAAGATCAAGACACAAATGGGAAAATGCCTAGCAGGCTAGCATTTGTTCTGCATTATTCACAGTTCTGCTGAATTTGCAATGTAATGATGTTTACGGGACATTCAACCATGAGGTTGACTATTTAATAGTACTCTTCACATTAACTGTAGAGGCCTTGCATTGCATTAAGTTTTTAATTTGAAAACTTCAGATGAGTTTTCTGTACCCTGACATTGCTCTCATGGACCAGATGTTGAATGAAAAAGTAGATCATTGCTAACATGAATCTTTTATAGCTTACTTTCCTTTTATTTCTTCATGATTACAGACTTTCTCTTGATTAAAATGCTGGGACTCTTGTCCTGAAGAAAGGCTTCTAGTTACAAAATGAGCCAAGTGACTAGAGCTAACCGTGGTTTTTAAAGGTGAAATAGGATGGCTTTGATCTGAGAATGATCAGTATGGTGCTGAAAAATGAATCTATACAAACTGAGCAAAGTAGTAGGAAAAGAATGAAAAAGCCTACTCCATTTCAAAGCTTTGCAAATAAGCAGATTATCTCAGAGAGTTAAAAAAAATAAATTGCAGAGTTTTTCATTAATTTCTGTTTGGGCTGATAGTTATAATATAAAGCTGCTTATTTGCACATTGTGTCTCTACAGTGTAGTTCCTTTCATTTAATTGTTGTACTGTCTTCATCCAGAATAATTCTTTTTTGCCATGGTAACCTTTTTTCACCTCTGATACGTTAACCCAGAGAACATGAGGCATTCTTGAGTCCCACTGAAATTGAGATTTCAGTGTGAAATGCTACTTATTTTGGAAAGTCTAATGTTCTTTGAATTCCTTTTCATTTATTCACATCTGATTTTCATTGGCTTTCTTTTGGTTCATGAACTGAGCAAAACTTAAATATGAGAGAAAACACTAGCCTACCACAAAAGGCCTTGTTTTACCACAATATTAATTTAACCCACACGTTCTGATGAATGAGATGTATGATTGTTGTAGGCTTTAAACAACAGAAAACACTGCCAACTATCGAGGCAGTTCAGCTGCCAAATGTTCCTTGTGAGGTTGGGGTTTGGAGTTCGTTATTCCCTCTTGAAATAATGTGCTGATATGTAGGATTCTAATGACAGAAAGAATCCAAAATTTTCAGTCTACAGGGAAAACATCTATGTGGAAAGCAATAAGTTTTCTTCAATTTGCACCTATCAAGTATTTATTGTACAAGGACAATTTATATTTTTAGTCATTGCCCACAAATAATGGTGAAATATTTTTGAACGACATGTTTGGGATTTGTATGTGCATAAAATTGTCTTTTGTACTGTAAGTTACTGTTTAATTTGATTATCAAGACTGTCTCCTGTGCCTTTATACTAAGGTTGTTTTTACAACTTCTCTTGACTATTAATAAAAAATTACTTTAAGAAATGCTTGTTGTTCTTTAAGTATTCTGCACATTGACATATCATGATATTAAGAGCCATGCCTCTCTCCCAAAAATGGCAGCTAGTTCAGAAGGATATTTTTTAATAGAGTGGAAGGTTCACGAGAACAGCACTCTTGAGCACTATTAACATATAGTGTGATCCCAAGACAAGTTGCCCAGGATCGTACTTTACTGATCCTTGTTACCCAAATAATTAAAGCCCTGCACTCTGAGGCAATATCCCATTGACTACTAGATGCTGGGAAATTGGTAATGGTATGGGTGAACCGTTGCTTTTTGACCTTGCTTGCTTTGAGTTTTGCTTGCTCGTGTGCAGGAAATGTCCACTTGGCAGTTTTGGGAAATACAGTGGATGTATTTTCATCTCACCTGGTATGGTTGCTCATATGTTACTTGGAGGTTGCTAATTTGAGACTATCCCAACTAATAAAGATGAAACAGCGCTGCTTTTACTTTACCATTAGATGAAAGTTAGATTAGTATGAGGTAATTGGGATGATATGAATAGAAAACTTAATGGTGTTTTAGTAGTACTTGAACAAGCCTGGATTGATGATGCATTGGGCTTGTTTGTAGTTTTAGTTGATGCTCTTTCCATGTGGCAAGGAGCAGACTTTCTTTTTCGTTTAACAAATCATGTTGCATACACACCAGACATGTCTTTATAAACATTTTTGTTATGGGAGAAAGATTCACAATCTAAAGTCTAAAATATAAACTTTCTGTAGTTTGATTCAAACTATAATATCTGGTGTGTAAATGCTAAGCTGGGTTCATGAGGCATGAAAGTACATTTTGCCAAATCAGGGGCCTCACTGCGTGGGAGGAGGATGTGAATGTAATGCTTGGCAGGGTTCACTCAGTCTTATGAACATAATGCTAAAACCACAGATGTATGAACCATCTTACCATCGAGCTGCTGCTTTGCCAAGTAATTCTCTATGTTAGCTGTTGCTTCCCTGTATGGAATTAGTATAAAACAATTACCAAACTGTATCTGGCTTAAGAAGAAAGTAATAAATTTTAAATTTTGTTACATATTTTTCCTCGAGAGATCATGTGTCAACAAAGGTTTCAAACTGTTGACATTCACCAAAGATCTCATACTAGGCACTCTTAAACTCTTGCCTAACTTTTTTTTCTGATTTCCTATTGCTGATTTTAATTATTGGTCACAAGGCTTGCTAGTCTGTGCAGTTGCTCAGTCTCTTTAGAAATGACTTTGCACAGTCAATGGAGGAGCGTTTCACCTTTTGTGTACTGCTTGTGAAATTCATGTGGAATAAATATAGGATAGTTACCTCGAAATGGGAAGAGGAAGAGAAATATGTTCCTACTGTTTAGGCACTCTGTGATGACTGTTTTACATGGCCTAACCTTTTACTTATGTCTCATTTTCTACTCACCCACAGAGAGGCATCAAAGCCAAAACCATAATTAGGCATGGGTTGAGCATTGGAACTACAGAAGGAACATTTGAGCACAGTATTGTACATGCATATTGAAAACAAACTTGTTGGGTGAACCTCCAGAGCAAAGGTTCCTCCTTCTTAAATAATAGTATACTACAGGGAATTTTGAAAAGAAGAGATGTGTTTGAGTTCTCTAAATCATCTATATAGAATGCTTTAATAATGAGAGTAAAATTTATTGATTAGTCCACTGACCATATCAAAGTAAAAGACAAAAACAAGAAAATACACAAATAGATACTAATCACTGTCCTAAAACTCCTGTAATAGTGAACATACTACATTAAAACGCAATTAAAACTTGTGTTTAAAAGTTAAACATAATGAAATTAATGTGAATGTGATCTGGCTGTGACATCTGTCACCCCATTGATCGCCAGGATTGATTCGGCTATTTGGCTGGCTAGGCGGGTGTCCCCTCCCTCCCTCATCACTCCAAAGTTAGTTAATTTAAACCAATGGATTTAGATATATACAATGCAGTACAACCTCCATATCTGTAAACTGATATACTAAACAGAGTTCCACTTTTTCGTACTTTGACTTATCCACTTTTGGCCGCTTGTATAATCTATTCTCTTCTCAGTACCTCTGTCATTCATTCTATTGAAAATAACAGATTTCACTATTATGTGTGGTTTTATGTAACCACACAAAGACTGGAAACATATCCATGTAGATACAGGGATCATACTATAGCAAACAAAACCATGTTCACATAAGTTTTATTTTAAATTGGCCTGGATAACCTGGATTCTAAAAACAATTCACAGAAACTTTTGCTTCTTGCTCATAAAGCCTGCATTTTAGACGATGCATCCCAAAGGTCAGGAAGGTATCATAAAACAATAATAAACTTGAGATAATCTTACAAAGACTTTGGCTAAAGTTAAATTAAACATTCTTTCTTAGCAATCTCTGTTCTCAAAATATTTATTTAAGTTGCCTTTTCACAAGTTCACACATAAACCTTTGGCTGGCAAACAATAGTTGTGCTTCTTTAGTTCCTCACAGATGTTTAGCAGTTGGCTTGCTTTTCCACTGACAATGGATTTTAGGGCTTCAAGTCATTGATTTGATTTATCTCCATTATTTGTCTATTATAGTCAAATAATTGCTAAAATAGTGAGCCACTAAAATGACTAAATTGGGCAATACAAATTGCCGATGGGAAAACGTTATTCTACAAGAGCAATTCTGCATTGGCTTAAAAGAAGAAAAGATGTATCTTTTAAGGGCAGTATCATCTGTGACATATATGTACTTCCTTAAAAAATCATGTTTCATAATATTGGTGATAATCTGTGAGACAAGCAAGTCATGGGGTAGGTATTTCAAAATGCATTTTGAAGCTCTGTCAATGGAAAAGTTACATTCCAAGATTAGTCGGTGCTATTAATGAAGATGATCCAGATCAAAGAGTTGAGTATTGGGAGTGGTACTTGGCACAATGTGTAGAGGAGGCACTCTTTCTAACAAAGACTGTGGAGTGATGAGGCTACATTCAAATTAAATGTTCAATTCAACTCTTGTCAGCGCTTCAAAATGCGTTGGACAGACACATTTGACTACCTACCTTGCTACTCAGTTGTCACAAATTTTCTTGAGGTTAGTGATTTGTTTCCAGTACTCTTTCTTCCTTTGTGAGGCTTGTCGATGTCCATGGTCTTCCAGAATGTTTCTCATGGACATTCAGAACAGTTCTATTGGATTCAAACTTATCTCTAATTAGATTAATAGTAAGTCGTGTTGGAGGATCACTTTGAACTGCCTCCTAAACTGTCTTTGCAATTCAACGACGTTTTCACACTTCCAGTAGCATTTAAAAATGAATTTCCTTTGTTCAAAGCTTAGTCTGACTTCAATTATTAATTCCAATGGGTTTAACCTGGAAAACAAACATCAATTAAACTATCAGCTTTTAAAGTGTGTATACATTTTTGGGACACTTTATATTATGCTCTTAAAAGTAAATCATGCAGCACTTTCAACTGACTTTGACATATTGTGACAGTAATCATTTTCTTGGGCTCATAATACATCAGAAAAGAAGTTGAGGATGGTAACATGGCATGTATTATGGCTGTGCCATAAGCCAAATCCCCTGCCCCTCAAAGGCATCCATTCCATTAACTTGATGTAGAATTCCAAAATGCAAAAGATATTGCAAAGTGCAAAAGATTATTGTCAATTGTTTACTAATAACTTTCGGTTACTTTTAGGGATATTTCCTGTTTATGTTTGTATATTTATGTTAGGGAAATGGTTCTCAGTCTGTTCTTTTAAAGTGAGATTTTTCAAATGAGTTTTAAGCTTCCCAGTGACAGTTTAGTTCAAAGATGACTAATGCATTTCTTCTCCCATTTCTTTGGGGAATTTATTTTGTGAGAAGTGAAGACTGTAATAGCATGTGTGCATTTCAGATACATAACCTTGTGTATGAGTTAAAATATTTCTCTCTCTTTTTCTTTAAGGGATAACAAACTATGGGTTTCGCTTCCCCTTAACTTAAGAAAGCTGAATATTGGGTTCATCTTTGTAACTTCTGTGCCGCACACAAAAAGGTTTTGCATCTGCACAGAGAACTCATTTGGAACTTTCTAGAACTGAGTAGTTTAGCAGAAACTCCTAACCTTCAATACCCACTGTGTATGCTCAACCATGGATGGATGGCCTTATGTCGGGGGTGCTTTAAATGCAATATTCCTGCTTCTTGGCAGGGGTTGGACCGGATGGCCCATGAGGTCTCTTCCAACTCTATGATTCTATGACTCTATACCAAGCTACTGTTATCACATTTTCCTTCTTTTTGCTTTAAGGCATTGTTTGTGGCATTTACTTGCATCATTCCTTATTTTCTATCCTAAATGCTTTCCCAATGTACCTACCTGCATCTAATTGTACATCACTGCTATCTGTTTGTTTGTTTGTTTAAATCTCTATACTTATATTTTTCAAGGAGGCACACAACCATTCATCTTAAAGTTGCAATAATCCTTTGTGCTGGGGGGAACTAGACATGAAGTTATCCTGCAGCTATCCATCTAGTTGGGACAAAGTACTAGCAGATGCTATGAGTCAGGATTGAAATCTTAAAGATGAATGGTTGCTTTGAGATCAGTTCTTCAGTCTCATCACCAACACATTGAATTTTTCTTTTTTTTGTCACTACATCCAACAGAAAATGACATATTTACTGCTCCAGAAGTAAGAGGACGTGATTTTCGTGGAGATGCTTTTCTGCAGAAGTTATCTGGTTCTCTGATGTATTGCTTTCTCCCATGCTCTCTGATAGGGAAAGTGATGGCAAAAACCAGAAAGGGAGGGGACCAGTGCCATTGTAGCAACACCTTATGAGCTGAGACAACTTTGGTTTGCCACACTACATTAGCTCTCTGGAAATTGTATCTTTCACATTTGGAAGGATGAGTATATCACCCAGAGCTCAAAAAAGCTAAAAGCGATCCAATGGTCTCTTCCAAACCAGTGTTTTGACAGCTTCCAGAAAA